AGAGAAAAAAAAGGGTCTTTTTCCCCCCTTCTTTCCCTGCCCCCCAAATATTTTATCTATGGAATCAGAAGCCGCAGCCCTTTGGACCCAGATCACATTTCGACTCAGCGAGCTGGAGATTTACTTCCAGGAGCCTGGCCAGGGAGGGGTGCTCTGACACACACATCTGGAGCGGTTTGTTCCAGACACGTGCATGGGCGGAGACTCCAAACCGCCTACGGGCTCCTTGGGAGGGTCCTCCCTAGAGCTGGAAAACAGAGTAGCTTGGTACAGGGCCAAGGCAGCAAAGGCTCTAGGTTAGAGAGATTGGGAGTACTGGAAGCTAAAATCCTCCACTGGCACACGAGAACCCGTCTCCCACCCCATTACCCACGGGGTTCTGCTGTGATAGGTCCAAGTTCCACACTAGGTCTGGCCTGGCTGCTGGACCCTGTGACTGCCCTTCCCTTTTCTCCCCTTCCTTTGGGACAGGGGGGCATGGACCCCTTGCTTGGCAGGTGGCTTATTGGGATGACTCTTTGGGCCAGGGTTAGAGAATCCAGCTTGAATCCCATTTAAAAGTTAGGGAGTGGGGCATTTGTATGGGGCTCCCCGCAGTAAGAAAGATCCGCAGGGGCAGGGGAAAAGAGCCACACTGTCAACAAAGAAGCAGAAGAACCAAGGATTTTAAAAACAAACAATGAGGGAGATTCTCAGAGGCCCAGATAGTTTGGTTTTCAATAGAGATTAGGCCCAAACTGGCATTTCTGGGCAGGATCCTTTCCCCGAGGACTCGTGACGTTAACATGGCAAGGAGCAGCAGGTGCAGTTTAACCAACGGAAGACTTTGTTGGCATGTCTACCATGCGGTGTAAGCCCGGGGTTTGAACTCAGGCTCAAACCTAACTAGGGATGTTAAGGTGAAATGGTTAACTAGTTACCCGGGAAGCATTAGCCTTACCAGCTTGCTTACCAGGTCACCAGAGGGCCCAGCCAGCAGGAGTAGCACACTCCAGCCCCCACGGCTGGACCCTGAGCAGGGCCGGAGCAGCCCCTGCCATGCTATGGCCTGAGGTTAGCCGGCCATATTGTTCCCATTCGTAAGGGTTATTTACATGAGGGATGTAATAGGGTCGTCGATTAACCGATAAGCAAAAGCGTATCGCTTAATGCTATAGCTGACGCATTTCTCCCTCCCCTCCAGTAGATTTTTTGGCAGGCTGGCCAGCAGCCTGGCTCAGTCTTGCCTCGTGCCAGGTCTTACCCCGGGTAGCCTGTCTCAGTTCCGGGTCTGGGAGCTCAGCTCCTCCCCACCCCAGACAGGGGTTGCTGCCACCCCACACTGCTGCCTCGCGTGGAGCCGGTTTTTAAACTGGCTCCCCTCACAGACCAGCTCCTGCCTGGCACCCCGCGCTGCTGCCTCTGATACGGAGTGGCAGGAGGGGGTCCTCTGCCCCCATCCTGGGGGACTACAGAATAGTCGAGTAACCGAGAAGAAATCATGAGGTTAATCGACTATTCAATTAACCGATATTTAACATCCCTAATTTACATCCCTAACTAAGAGCACTCCGCCTTCAGGATGTCACCACCTCTCGCCCTTCCTCCCTCGAGGGGACCACGCAGAAATTTAACTTTGGGGTTGAAGGGAAACTCTTCTCTTTTCACCTCATTGGTCCTCTTTGATACTCTCCTTGTCTAAGAGCAGTGTTGCACAGGCAGGCAGGAAGACCTGAGGGTGGGAGATACGGCAGCCCGGAGCCCTTTGCAATACACCCACGCTGAGCCCAACAGCCTTTCCACAGGCACAGCAGGAGACACAGGAAAGGAGGTGTGTCCCACGTGCAGCCTGCCGTAGGACACAGGGGCAGCACACGCGTGCGTACCGGGTGGCCGCGCACCCCGTGCGCACGTACCTCATGTTACACCGAATACTTGGCCATGTCGCTTTTATCAAAGACAACTTTGGTTGCAAAGTAAATTGCCACCACGCCCAGGCCGGTGGCGAATACCATGTAGGCTGTCACCGACTGGGTCAGCTGGACAATCGATCCCATGATGAGAGACGGGACAACCTGAGAAAGGAGGAAGGCGCTGTCTAAAATGGCCAGGTCCAGGCAGATCCCTCGGCCGGGCGCTGCTGGGTCCGAGTCTCCCGCCCTCATCAGGAGCGAGACCTCGCAGGGGGAGCCCACGCACAGGGCCGAGCTGGCGGCTGCAGGGGAAGAGGAGAAGAGGCCCCCAGCATGGCCGTTCTGGTAGGTTGGCTTCTGGCTGGAGAGGGGGCCTTTGGGGAAACCTGATTTCTTGTCCTGCTGAGCAGCATCTTCCTCCTCTTTGCTTTTGTACTTATGCAAAAATACCTGAGAGACAAAACAGAGAGAGAGAAGCTAAGAAACTGCAGGGGGTGGTGAAGCCCTAAGAAACCAGAGAAGGTGCCACTAGCTAGGGCGGGCAGAGCTGGAGCGATGCTTTCCTAGGCTGGGCAAAACTTCCCCTGGCTTCATATTGTTCCAGTCCAATGAAAATTCCCAGGCCAGGTGTGGCGCCTGACCAGGGACCTTTGCAGCACGTGGTGGATGGTTTCCAGCAACTGGCAGGAACTTCTTTGTTAGACTTCAGATTCAAGGTGGACCTGACCTGCCACAGTAGCTGGGCTCCAAGTGGCACCTTTGTGTGTTCACGTCACGCATCACCAGTGCCTGGGAGTGTTTCAGACCAAGGCCAAACCGGGTTCTGCCATTCGGGTCTGAGCTTCCAGAGTTGCTGGACTCCCCGAGAAGCAGGTGGGGCAAACCAAACAGCACGACGGGCCCGATTCTGCTCTCACGCACAGCAGCACAGCTCTGTGGACGTCACTGGCCCAATTTCCAGCATACACTACTGGGGGAGGAGAACCCAGTCCCGAGTGTTTCAGACCAAGGCCAAACCGGGTTCTGCCATTCGGGTCTGAGCTTCCAGAGTTGCTGGACTCCCCGAGAAGCAGGTGGGGCAAACCAAACAGCACGACGGGCCCGATTCTGCTCTCACGCACAGCAGCACAGCTCTGTGGACGTCACTGGCCCAATTTCCAGCATACACTACTGGGGGAGGAGAACCCAGTCCCA